AAGTCCCAGATGCAGACTTCACCATCATCAGCCCCAGATGCTAGTAAGTTTGGAGTCACAAGGTTAAACTCAAGACCACGAACCTGAAGTAAGGGGAAAAAGAAAGAAAAATAATATTCCATATTATCATGCATTCCTGATAAGCAATACTACTATACAGCTACAAGCAACTGCATGGGTAACAAAGAAAGGGGAACTTACTGGCCCTCTGTGCCTTGAAAGATGTCCAACAAAAGCGTTTTCACTACTCTCAGAACTGGGGAACAAAAATTACAACTAAATCAATTAGGGTCTCATAATCAAAGGAAAAAAATAATATTAGTTTAATTTCATGTAATTAGTTATGGTAAGCAACAGATATAACTCAAAATTGTCTTCAGCATTTTGCCTTCTGTGACAGCTTCAAACAATGTAGTTAAGGAACGTGGTTGTCCACATGAGTTCATTACATTAAGATACATATACCTAAAAATGACCTAACAAGACCTTCAAAGAGAATGTGTAATATACAGATATCCAAATACTTGCAAACAATCATCTGGCAAAAGAATTAGAACTATTTTATATCTCAAGTTTCCTACGTTTCTCCTACCTCTCAATCAAAGAAACCATTAAATCACTCCACACAAACCTCAAAATCCACAAATTATCCATATAAGAAACATCTCAATGTGCAACTGTTAAGTCCAATATAATGCTGAGTAAACGATCATGATCCTTCCCATCCCCCATATACATTGAAAAATGGAAATCCCCTAAAGCACTTCACATTCTCAAGATATAAGCAATTAATTCCAAATGAACACTCGAATTCTCTCATTTTCCAGATTTGCATTTCGCTCAGCACAGCACCAAATCAAATAACGATTTAAAATTTAGGAAATCTATGAGTGTTTTACTTAAAAGATTATGCTTCGCAGTTCGCCTTCAATTCAGTCCAATACAAAGGTAAGTAGTGATGTAGGCATTGCAGATTCAGATACAAAAAGCTGAATTACCGGATGAGTGCAAGTGGATTCCAAATATCAATGTTGCCGTCAACAAGGCCACCGGCAATTAGTCCAAGCGCTAAGTCATCAGAAGCAGATCCGTTCTTGCCCCAAGCAAGCCGGTTGAATCGCTCAGAGCTCGGACACTCACCGACGACCGGAAGCTCACGATCGTCACTCTGGAAATCGAGCTTGAAGATCTCGAGATTGGCAGACGAGCTGAACGACAGATCCACTGCTCCAGCCATGGTCCCCGCCGCCATGTAAGGAGCGTCCGGCGCCAGTGCCACTGACGCCGATCTATTCACAGCCTTTATACACGCCATAGAATTCGATACGTTATCCTTTCTACACGTATCAAATCAAACAACCTAATCCTTGAGATACACAGTGAATTGGAAAATTTATCGGTGTGCATACACAGATAGAATCGAAAGAGAGATTTGATTCAGGAGAAAACGATGTCAATTTTCAACAATTAGGGTTCGATGCAGAGATCGAAAATCTGGAAAAACTGTGCAGCGTTTCTTTGTTTTGAGATTTTTGGCTCATTGATTGATTTGATGGATGATAGAGTTGTGGACTTCTTCACTTCTGAGATTAATTTTCTTTTTCTTTTTTTTTGGTTTTTATTTTCGATCCAAAACACTGTGAAGAAAGGCGTTTTTTATTTTATTTTTTGTTAAAACTCCATTTTGATCCCTATACTATTTTATAACTCTTTATTTGGTCCTCAAACTTAAAAAATCCCTCATTTATATTCATATTGTTTACCATTTTAACCCCAATTTAGTTATTCCGTTAAATATCCACTGTTAACTCACAGAGAGTTAATAACATGGGAAAAATTTGAGATACATCAAATAAAAATGATGACATAGCAACATGATAGATCATATTCTTACCATGTAACCCATCAAAATTATAATTTTACCCTTATCTTCTTCCTCGAATCTTCTTCATTCATCTTTCTTTTTCCCTCTCTTTGCCTCTTTCGACACAACTTTCATCACCATTTTTTTAAATCAAACAATTAATTCAATGAAATGGAATTTCATTTTTTATTAATCAATTCTTCATCATCATCAAACAACAAAATCCACAAAAAAAAAAAAAAAAAAATTTTTAGAACCCAACATTAGGGTTTGAAAGAAAGAACTAAGGCGCTGGGTTCGATTCGAACGAACCCATGCCTAGGTTTAATTCAAACCAAGCGGTGGCTGGTGGGTTTGATGGGTTTTGAGGGAGGAAGGGTAAAGAGAAAGGGAAAAAGAAGCAAAAAAAAAAAAAAAGAATTTTTTTAAGTTTTATTTTTCATATTATTATTATTATTATATTTTTTTTACCATGTGTATTAATATTTTGCCATCTCATCCCATAATAGTGAATTAATAGCATAGGAAATGAGATTTTTAACGGAAAGACTAAATTGGAGTTAAAATGGTAAACAGTAAGGATTAAATCAAGGGTTTTTTAAGTTTAGGAACTAAATCGGGGATCTATTCAATAGTTCAGGGACCAAAATGGGGTTTTAACTTTTTTTTTTGTCCCCAGTTCTTATTTTTGTCCCTGCTGCTTTGAGTTGTACCTTGAATCTTTGCATAATCGGGAGAGCAAAATGGGAATAAAAGTCCAAGAACTATTGATATCGTAATTTAATTATCATCCAGGGAATCATTTTGTGCCAAGTGTAAATAAATGTAATTAACTCTAGTAATTTTATCGTCAGATTTTGGGCCGAGGACTTGGGTCTACTCCACAATTCTGTTAATGCATTCGGAATTATAGTTGGGAATTTTTTTTTTTTTTAGCTGTATGGCATTTTTAAATATATATCAATGGCCTAATAATCCAATGGGAAGGAATTTAGTTTCCTTTAAATAAGATTTTGAGTTCATATCTTATCATTTATGAATGAAAAAACACACTTTGAAAGAGTTTTTTCATAT